TGTCGTGTGTGTGTGTGTGTGTGTGTGTGTGTGTAGTATATATATATATATATATATATATATATATATATATATATATATATATATATATATATAAGAACGTGCATATACAGACCCAGACATATATATTAGGATGGTACCAACGACTTACCTAGTGACGGATGTTGCTTCGCACGCTTCACCAACACGCACACAATTTGGTTCGGATCAAGAATCATCAAATAAGGCCAATATCTCTGTTGATGCACACGATAACACTTTAAGTAATGTGTTTCGTTCTCGATTTTGATATCTACACTCCAGTTTCGTGGTTAAGTCGCATTGCATCTACACGATAAGGCATACGGTTGGATTCCGTCGAGTTGTGTGGTGTTGATCCAAAGGTCTCTCAACGCAGTTTAATTAGATTGTCACCACTCGCCACCCGCCTACATATCGCATACGTCGCGAGGAAATCGTTCGTTTTTATCATAATAATCTAGCGTGATTGCATGGGTTTTAAGATCTAGATGCGGAATGCTACTACAATGTGACCGCGTGTGTCGCATAGGCTACGTACAGATCAAAACGAATATGATTGTATTTTCTAACACTACGGTGTCGGAAATTTTCCTGCGTAAGAGCGCAGCTCGAGAAAGAAAAACTTCATTTCACCACTTCCCACATTCAGAGCGCTGCAGAAGGGTATATCTTCAATGCAATACACTTGATATTTGTTTATTGGGCTGCATATAATTGCATTCCCCACTGCAAACACTTGTCAAATATCTGTTACACCATCCAGAACAGTATACTGGCGTACAATGTACCTTGAAATTATTTGACATTCCGCATCAATATTCGCATCGAGCTTTTTTCTTATTTCTACTTATTTCGCATTTATAGTGCCAACCTCCGCATTGCAAAGCCAAGTACCACAACAGCAAATGCAAAACCAACAACAACAACAACAACAACGACGACGACAACAACAGATACAGCAATCACAACAACAAACACAAGAAGCCCAACAAGCAACCCAACCACACCAACCACAACACGCGCAGCAATTCGCACAACCACCACAGCAACACACACATCAACACAAAGAGCAGGTGACCCAACAACAGCCACCACATGCACAGGCACAGGCACCAGTACCATCACTGCAACAGAGTGTTACGCCAAGTGCAATGCCACAAAGTGCAATGCCACAATCGCATACACCTGCAACGCAGCCGTATAGCACGGAAGGGATGACTCCGCAGTCAACCCAACCACCACTGGCCGGACCGGAGCTTAACCAGTCACACCAGACAACAGCCCCTCATGGACAGGCTCATGCAGGTGTGCATATTGGGTTTTTTGTGATGGAAAGACAGTTTTAGTATGTATATACTATATTATTATACTATTGTATCATATATATATATATGTGTGTGTGTGTGTGTGTGTGTGTGTATTTGAGCATTATATTGTTGAAATTGCATCCATGGCGTGAGTCACGCTATGAACTGCTTACACGCCCAATTGAACCACGACGTCACTTCTATTTATTGCCACAGATACCTCCAAGAGTTCGGCCAGCATCCCTACCACTGGTGAAACCAACACCGTGGTCTTGAACACAGAGAGTTCCACAGAGAGTTCGACTCCAGGTGCGTCATCTGCTGAACAGGTCAATAGCACCGCAGAGACTGTACAGGACATTACGCTGGTGCAGCCCACACTTCCAGCTGGCAATCCCGATGTGCCTATCCTCCCCACTCAGCAATAAAGTATTTCCTCTGTAATACCAGTAGGATATGAAAGTGTATGGAATACGTTTCCTCAGAATTGTCTGTTTGGAAGGCAAGTATAGACCTATAGCCTTTTGCTTTCGCTCGTTGGAAATTGCGAATTGGTTTAACCAGATAGATGGAAGTATCAACCAATTCTCTTTGATCCTCGAAAATAACGTGAGAGTGTATTGAGGAGTATTTGCAATTGTGAAGAAGTCGCGTGCGCCCGATATCACACCCGCTACATCTCACACGTCCATTCTGTATGCTCAGAGACCTTTTCATCGCCTGAGAAGTGCAGCGGCCCAATTTAATCGGTGCTATTCGTGCTTGGCAGCACACAGCTCCTCAGCAACTGGAATAGAGAATAGCAGACCACCCCAAATGAGTTGATTCACACAGTACGAGTTTTGTGATTAACCCCTCATTGTATGTCGTAGCTGGATACACCTTCTCCAATTCTGGGTGGTCATGTACATTCAATAGACCTGAAAAATCCATCACCCCGTAAGCACAATTGTATCTTATAATAGGCACACTAATTATGCCCCAAACTGACACACCTGGGCTGGAGTCTATGCGCAAAATAGTGGAACAATCTGGAGACTTTACGAAGGTGCATTAATCGGCTCGTTGCGCAACTAAAGGACACTTGGCAGGGCTAATGTAGAAATGCCATACATCATACCGATAGAGTACAGTTGTTGGCATAGATCGAACTAGTACCATCCGCCGTCACTTCCGGATAGCAGACACTTTCGGGTCACGTCCACTTCAGTGCTAATACTGCTGGGATGCACAAAACTCAATCAATCAATACACATCCACCACCTTTAATAATACGCATAAGCTTGAATGTAAGCAGAAAACACGTTTTGCGCTTATGATCTCTCGGCGATACGTGAGTCAACTACAACGATACTGCGCACCAACATCCCAACGACTCGACCAGTTGACACATACCAAATGTTGATTTCGGTCGACACTGTAATACAAAATATACTTCGATTCACCAGTGACTTCAGCGCGACTAGTTAAGACAGCAATGTGATATACTCGCTGATTGTCACCAGTCCGTGATATTAAAAAACCTACACCAGCACGCGGAATATACGTGGCCTCGCCAGAAGGTGTGATCAACACCCCATTAGTTGATACTGTAACATTGTATATTGTATCGCAATATACGTGCTCATATTCAGGCAATGATATTAATGGTATCACACCAGTACGCGGCGTATGAGGTGAAAGCCACTTTTGTGTGCTTAGCAACTTCCAAACGACAAACTGATCCAGTGCTGAAGTATACTTGCAGATATATTCAGGCACAGATATTAATGACATCCACACCAGTGCGCGGTGTATGGGTGAAAGCCACTTTCAAGCGCCTAGCATCTTCCATGCGACTGATTGATCTCTGATTGATCTCCAGTACTGAAATATACTTGCTGACATATTCAGGCACAAATAGTAGTTACTGTCTTGTCAGTCATCAATATTAATTGTATCCACACCAGTACGTGGCGTATACTTCGCTTCCCCAGCGGCCACTTTCGTTCGCTTAGAGTCTTGCGTATGATCAAATGACACAGTGTTGGCCGTATCCTTGTTAGCTATATTTGTCGCTTTGCTATTCCCCTCCCATTTCGCTTTACGTTTACTTTCCGTCACCCGGCAGGCCACGCCCGTCTCAGGCTTACAATTATTCGCCATGTTACACGGAAGTACGCAATCGACCACCGGAAAGTATGTTTTCTCCGTATGATTCAGCAGTTCTTGTATTCCCTTCCTGCACAAACGTGCTGCTTCTGGTAATCCCGTAAAGTCATCCTGATGGTTGCGCATGTACTGCACATACGACAGCATCGCTCTTGTACTTGCATGCACGGCACCTCCAGAGCCCTCGTGTGTGCGTTTGAGTGTAGCAAATAGCTTGATGGCTATCTTAAGCAGGCTGTGCACCTGATAGAAGAAGTGCTCAAAGTCCGGCTCTGCATCTTTGAAGCATCTAGTGTAGAGTATCTTGGTGTGATCGAGTATCTGCTCGATGCATTCGTGTGTGTCGGGGACTTCCATTGTACTACACTGGTAGATGATACAGATATCATTAGGTATCTGCACATGTAGACTATATGAGGGCCCCTTTTAAGCCACTCTCTAGTCTTAATCACGTAGTGCATGCCGTGTCGTGGCCTGTACTCTTGTCGTCGCATGCATGCCGTGGCCTGTATTTTTCCTGTTTATACTTCATTTGTCATATTAACCTACACACAAAATAAACTGAATACGATTGGTGCAAATTAGACTAAGTCTGAATATCTATTATATTAAAATCTGCTCGTTGTATATTTAGATGTTGAGCTTACGTCACCTTTTTTTTGCAGCAGAGGATTTATTTCAGGAAAAAAACTAAATATATAATCCTCCTGAACTATGATCCGTCTTTCTCACATGGCGAGAGCACAATAGCAGGCTCTTCAGCCTTCTGGTGAGAAAACCACTCAAAGAGTGCTCATCCTGACTAGCACCGAGCACGCCAACTGCGAACAGCAGGCGGGATAAATGTTGAAGTGTTGAACCCGCTCCAGGTGTTGAGTATAACAAATTCAGCAATTGATATGACAAACAGTATGAACTATGAACGCTCTAGCGGGCGCAGTTCACTCCGAATATACATCGAGTAAGAAAACAAAACACTCACAAGAAACATTCAATATGCCTAGCTATTTGATATACTCGAAAGCGTTACTTTTTGTCTGCTTTTATATTTGAATTCCTATTGCATCATTCACCCGTCCTCATCTGCGACTATCAAGGGATCGCTCGGAGGCACAATCGACAGCTTCGGCGGTAGTCGCATATTTTGTCTAATACTCGAACGATTCGCCTGGTTAGCTGTACTGTTGGTCGAGTTGGTGCTGCTGCTTCCCAGGACAGTCCTATCCTCTCTCGGTCTTACATCCGCATCTACACCACTACATACTTGTGGAGCGTCACTGCTAGTGGGAGAGCCCGGCAAAGCGGTCTCGCTTGTGGGGTCAGATGCGTTGTGTTCCTGGCTCGCTTGAGAGTCTACCAGGGAGTTTACCTTTATTTCTGTAGGTGAAGCAGTTTCTGGATTTGTATCTGACTGTAACCGTCTATCAGCATCAGAGATCGCGGATATTGCTGACCCGTAGTGCCTGTCACTGTCATAGTCGGTGCTACTACTGCGTTCGAGTCCTTTACCTTCCGATGATGAGGCACTCTCGTTTGTTGCATGTGAAGAAACTCCGTCACTTGCGATGTTTGTTGGGATAGAAGCGCTTCCCATGAATGAGGCAGTCGTAGACCTGGCCCTACTTCTCGCATTAGAGCTGTTGGTGGAAAAGGTTTGGAGCGCATCCTGACTGCTGTATATTCTTGTTGCCCTCAACATATTCCCGCTCCTATTCCTTGTTGAGGTAGGGGATTCTGAGACGGGAGCCCTGTTCCTGTATATACTTGGTTGACTCTTTGTGCCGCCGAGCTTGTTGGCATCGCTTGAGAGCGGAGGCGAGGGTGACCTCGAGGCGGCAAAGCCGTACTGTGAACCGATCTGAGACAGCCTTTTGACACTCAGGAACTTCTCCAACGAGTCCTGGCGTTGTAAAGTGGTGCTAGTGCTGCTATTGGTGTTGCCCGGTTGTGATTGCGACATGCTTGCTCGGTGGTCGTTTGAGAAGCTGAAGGTGTTGTTGAGGGATTTGTCGTTGTGGTTGAGCGTTCCGCTGACTGAACTCGCCCGCCGGTTGTCGAATTTCTTGGCTGAGTTGTATAGTGGAGACATGCTGTTAGTGTGTTGGACCTGATTGCCCTCATCTGAATGGAAAGGTGAATTCAAAGTTGTTTGGGGATTGAGTTCATAGACATAGCCAAGTTGGTGTGAGTGGGTGAAATAGGAGTCGAACAAATAGGAAATATATGTTAACAACAACATATTGGGCCGCGAAAGAATAGTGCATCTGATTTCAACATAGAGCCGGTGTAAATTGTAGATGAATTTCGAGGCACTAATGCAACCAGAAAACAGATTTGACACCTGTTCCAAAACATCACTCAGCTCTGTACCATGCACATACGTAACTGCGCACGCGTCACGAACTCAGAGTATTCGCATGCGAGGCCTGTACGATCAGTCATTAGGCATACCTTGTGTACTGACACCGCCATTCCCGCCCGCCAGCGCATTCATATTCGATCCATACGACTGGGACCGTTTTCTAAAGGACGTGTCGATTTTCAAGTTCCCTCCCGTTCCCAATCGCGATTTAATCGCATCAGCGCTACTTGGTAAAGCATCAGAGCTCGTCTTCGCTTTCTTGCGCTCTTCTGGCTCGTCATTGGGCGTGGCTGCGGTTAACGCTAAGCTCACACTCAACTGCTGTACAGGTGAGTACGAGTTGGCCCTACCCCGCCTCCTCCCCTCACTCAAGCTGGGCAGACTGTCAGTGAATCCGCCGGTAGTCGAACGCGCGCGTATGTGTTTTCCCCGATTTGTATTCGGCGCCTTCTGATTGGTCCTCGCGCCTTTACTCTTGCTATTCGAAGCACTTTGATTCGTGCCCGCACCCGGCACGCTAGACGGTAACCTCGTCACCCCTTCGCTTAACGCATCAAGGCTTATATCATCCCCGCTTATGAGATCTACCCGGATATTGGGCAATTCACGTGAATTCGGTTTAGTTGTATCCTGCTCCACTCCCATACTCTGTGCGTGTGGAGTATTATTCTGGTGGTCAGCAGTCGGGCTAGTAGAGCCGTTAGCTACCACGGGCGAACTTCGGTCCGCCATCTCTCCCGCACTATAATCGCTATCACCCGAGGCAGACACATCCCGTGGCACCGGTGATACAGAGCTTTCATCCGACTGCATGCCTGTATCCGGCCTCACAATAGCAGGTTCCTTCCCTTTCCTCTCAGCCTCGGCATCCAGACGAGCGTCTTCCCGGTCACGCGCCAGATCGGCAAAGTCGACATGGGGTGTGCGCACATTTGCGCTACGTCCACTGGCCTCCTCAGCAGATTGCAGTTGCTTTTCTTCGTTAGTTAAGGTGTTCGCCGGCGTATAGTCGTCGGAGTGAGTGCTGCTTACCGCAAGGGCTTCGTCTTGCATCTCCACGAGTTGTTGCAGCCGATTCATGCGATAAATTGATGTGGCATCGCTCCTGGAGAACTCCCTGTGAGATGAAAGCGTTTGATGTAAGATGCGCAGTACTGGTTAAAGTATTGTTGTGAGATTGGTAGTATCCCCTTTGAGCGTATTGTATTTTATTTTAATGGTCCTGGGACTCTCTATCATAAATATTGTCGAGGGCTTTGTATCTTATATCAATCGCGCAGAATTTTGTACTAAAAAGAGAGTGGAGGGTTCGCGACAATTGGGTGGATTATACACAGGTACAGAGATCGCTATGACAATCACTCTATCCACTTCCTTTCGAATTTTATATTAAACCCCAAGTTTTCTCGAGAGTACCGATAGATTTTAGCACCAGCGCTAAACACATAACAAACAGACGATATAACATACGCGTCCGAAACAAAGCTTTCAAATATTAAAGTGCGGTTGGTATGATCCGCATCCTCAAGTAGGATTTCTAATTGAAAACTCACTGGTAATCCACAGAGTAAATCTTTTCAAGAGTGTGAGAATTGCGTCAAGGGTGTTTCAAGCAAACCCCTCCCGCTATAAAGTGCGACAGTGCAGCCCAGTCGATCACAGTAAAGACTTTTTTTTATGTTCATAAGACCTTGCGAAACATCCTCTTCGTTGTACAGAGTGCAACAACTTGTGGGCATACGTTATTTTGCGATACCCACTCATTCATAGTGTGAGACATACATGGGCGATCCTCTCAACACCTACCTTGCCATGCCACGTAGTTGCTCCACAGTCATCGGCCGGAACGCAAAGTCGAGGCAGAACTGTAGGTATCGGCATTCGTAGTAATCTGGGTTGCACACTGACACGGTTTTCTGCGAAGATCAGAGATGCACACGATACGACGCACGAAGATTAATGAATTGTGCGTAGGCTTACTTCAATTGCGAAGAAGAGTGCGGGACTACACTGGCAAAATAAGGACACTCTCCAAATCCTAATGCACATACGCTTGCTGCATGGCAAAGTGTCATAAGCTGTTCGCATAGGAATGATGAAAATTTCCAGTCGCAACGATGAACAACAACAGATGTATCAGTATTTCACAGCTCGACATACCGAGTTATACATGACGGCCTTGAAGGTGTGCTCTAACTTCTTTGCTATCGCGTAGTTTTGAAGAACATCGATAACCCCAATGAAGAGAAGTAAAGGCTTTCCCGTCGATGTGAAGCCCAGGAGGCCCTCGCTGTATGGAGGAGTACAATGGGTCAGTACAACATACCAATACAATCATATAGTGTGATGCATCGTCAACCTGCGTACACAGTCTTACGAAGCTCGTCCACACGTACTTGACATTCTCTTATCGAAGACAATACGTATAAAAGACGTGTGCTGACTTGACCCTAATCGCATACTCATATAAATCAACACACGCACAAATATATTCGTGGAAATGCGCCCTATCCCAACCTATAACGCCCCTGTCACGAAATCGGTGTGCCAGAAAAAGGAAACATTGCGTTCCCACAAGATCACGGGTTTAAAGGTTGAGCACGATAAAACTAAACAACCCACCATTCTATATTCAGAGCTAATAAACATACCCCAGATCCCCTTCATTGGCCTGGTGCATGGATAGTGTCTCTGCCATGGAGCTGAACTTGTACTTATGCGCTCGCACAGTCGACTGTTGGTGGGGAAGTGCGGCCGCTGCATTTCCGGTGGTCGACGTGGGACCAATATGCTCGTCATGCGACATTTCTGTGTGCCCAGCATCTCCATCTGCACCCACCTTGGCCCCACCTCTACCTTTTTCTGAGTCTTGATTGGTGACAATTCTCCTGTGTTCATGCTCCGTGGTATGTGATGATGTATCGTGTGATGTGTCTATATGTGTGTGTGTGTGTGTGTGTGTAGATCCGTCTGTATGATCTTCGTCGATATCTTCCGCCTCTGCTTCGGGTATGGTAGGGGTGCGTGCGCGAAGCTTGGGTTGGGCGTCCGACATATCTGTTGACTGGTGCAACGCCCGTGCACTGTTGTCGCTGAGAAAATGCACACCCACCAACAGCGAATAGTCCATAATGCCAAACGAGGTCAGCACTCGCACATCGCGCCTGTTTATACAATGAGATGATTTTCAGGGTATTGTAGGATTGCGACTGAGAATATTGACTCGAATTTTCAGAACAACGGAATGAGATTGCAGAACGATACTCAAAAAGGGTACCACGGTACTGATGAATATCAAGGTTTTATGCAGGCTGAACGCAGCACTTGAATCTTCTAAGTATCCAGTAATTTATACAAAGTTATCGACGGAACGTGAATAGAATTTTGCGAGGCTCCGTAAAACTACAGAGCGCGATCTCACGAATATCAACTTCAATCATAGTAAGGTATAAGTAAATACAGAAACCACGGATTTGTAGATAAAACAAAGTGGTCTCAGACAAATGAACTCAGCTATGCTTGTTGGCAATTATCAATACCTGAGTGTGCGTGCGAAAGCGTTATAAGTTTCTTCGGAAAGTAGAATACCGGTTGAATGCAGACTTATAAAATCCAAGTCTTTAAGAGTAGGCGATCGCTTCTTACGTTCTTTGGGACTAGCTACTCTGGCCCATGTCGAGCCCTGCAAATACGCAAACATATGAATCGAAGCATGTCAACCGTATCACAAAGTGTATAGCATAACTGTGAACTGAAGTAAGTGAATTAGTTCCCGATTGTAAAGTATGAATGTAGACTGAATCGAGAAAACTAATTTGTGTGTATACTATGCAAATGTATTGGTGTACATAATTTGATCGTTGAGAATATGAAAGATGACGCAGGTGCGCAGAAAGATGTTTAAACAGCTGATATCGCATGCAATTGTGCATCTGACTGTATATTATTCTTGTTCGAGAATGCAGAAACAGGAATAAACATGGAAATCCAGCGAGGTATGTACATTACCTTTAAATCATAACGCTCGTGGTACACAAAATTAGTAGGTAAAATGTTATTCATAACGAGTATTCGGATGTTCTTGCCAAATTTGGATCGAAAGTTGAAGAGCCCGAAGAACTTCGGCAAAAGTGTCCGAGTGTTTTGAGTCACATTCTGAAATTCAAAATAGAAAAAATGAATCAATTACTTTAGAGAATCAGATATATTGTATTTGTGTGATAAATGTGCATACACACGTATTATATATATATATATATATATATATATATATATA